CATCAGACTGAGATAACCATGCTGAGTCTTGTAATGTTGATTAATCGGACTGTTAGAATTTATATGACCTATATAATGAGTACCCAATAAATCTCCGCAAATAACTCTATCGTTTTAAACATAAAGGACAAATGGGCGTCACATGATCATAATAAAGATGGTAAATTTTATATTGAAATAATATTTTTTATAAACCGTGATTTGGATGGAAAATTACTTCGCTTTGATTCATGCATTTTTATAAATATTCTGATTTTTGACCATTTCACTGCGTCATACAGCCATATGTATCAGTATTGTTTATTAACAAAGAACCAATTAATCCTAATATTTAATAATTTGCTGCAAGAAAGCTTTATTTTTTTAATTGTAATGATATATACATTTTAGGATTTACTACAAGTTGTTTAAATTTACTTGTTAAATTTTCAACAAATCGCAGATATTATTGAGTGATATTGAAATCATGCTTTAATTTTTGTAATTCTAATTTTTCGCGTTCAAGTTTCAATTCGCGTTCTTCAATTTCTAATTGCCGTTCTCTTAATAATAATCGACGTTCTTCCATTTCAAAATCAATATTATCTTCTGTCAAATCAATTATTTTTGTTTTTTTAGCTTCAGGTTGTAATACTTTTATTGGAGCCTTGGTTTTTGTTTTTGATTGATTTCTTAGTAACTTTAGTAACTAAAAAATAAATTTATTATATTAATTAAGCAAAACAAAATCATTCACTGCTAAGCCACTCATTATATTTAATATAGTGAAAGGGAAAAAAAAAGTTTATTCATTGCGAAATCACTCATTATAGTGAATATAGTGAACGGGAAATAATAAAGTTTATTCACTGCGAAACCACTCATTATAGTGAATATAGTGAATGGGAAAAAAAAAAATTTAACAAATATGTCTATCATATAACAATAAAGCCTGTGTGACGTTAAAACTAATTATCAGACTCAAATAATTTTAGGCAAGTTACTGGACTGCGTGGTCCGATGATCAGAATCCTAATTCATATGACTGAGCTAAAAAGTGACATGACTGCACTCAAAAAGATCATTGGACTGTACTCCGTAAGGATATACTCTGTAAAAATACAAACTCTGCTATTTTCGTGAATGATCCAAATTTGATACGTTAATTTACGTCCGCTTTTTTTCTTCTTTTCTTTTTGCTAGCAACAATAGTAAATTAAGAAGTTAATTGTTTAAAATTTTGTGCATTATAGTATCAAAATGCATTTTTGGATAAAAAAGGCTCAGAAGGAAGAATATTTACTTATTAGATTAAATTTATTTTAACAAATTATACAATTATGTTAAAAAAAAAGATTTAGGCCGTAAAATCCGGTGATTTATTAAATACCACATCAGGAAACAATAAATACTATATACGAGAAAACGTATCGTATGGACTTGATTGTCGCACGAAAATTTACTAATTGTTTTACTTTCGACGTTTCGGATATTAGAATTTAATAATCGAGTCGGGCGCTAAAAACCCTAAAAACCTTAATGTTTTACTTTTAAAATAGTAAATAAGGTAATGATAATCATTTGTTAATTTAATTTAGAATTCTTGTGTAGATTCGAATATGCCGATATTTCTAATTATATGATTTGAAACGACGATCAAACTTCCGACTTTGCCGTTATATCGAACATCATTTTCCTCGAAGGTTCAATGTTCTTCAAATTGTAAAACATTTGCCATAAATGATTTATATTTTTTAAAGATTTTTTTAATGAAAAAAATTGAATAAGAATGAAATAAGCTAACAAAAAGAAAAAATAAAATTTTATTTTCTGAACATACCATAAAAAGTTAATCATTTGAAAGACACCGCAGAAACATTTCTAACCAGTAATAAATTTCCCTCGTAAAATTTACAAAATATTCTAAGACTGTTGCTACAGCTAGAGAAAATTCGCCATGCTGTTCATTGCCCTCAGTGCACACAATCAGACTAATATTAGAAAAAAAAAATTAATGCTAATAAATAATATTTTTTTTTTTATTAAGAAATTCTTGAAAATATTTAGTAAGAAAAATTTTTTTTAGTAATTTCTTTAACAATTATTTCTTATTGAATAAAAAAATTTTATTAATTTATTTTACATACAAATACAAATAATTTTAATTAAATTTTATCTTGCAAATAATGAATTATAATGAATGTTTAATAGTCTTTTATAAAAGTTTTTCCTATTTTAGAATTTTTTTTATAATATTGCAATAAATAAATCAAATTTTATCTTAATTTTTTAAACCTAAATTTTTTTTTCTCTATTATTTTATTTTATTTTTTATGTTATTTATTAATTTATTTAATATTTACTTTATTTATTATTATTAATATAAATTGATAATAATTTTCGAATTAGTATAATCAGGTGATTTGTTGATCAATAAATCTATAATAATAAAAAAATACATGTAGATCATTAACGTTTAGAATGCTTGTATAAATTTTTAAATTGTGACCCTTAATTTGCGTTACGTTTAGTTCAACGAAATTCAGAGAAGAAATTTTCTATTTCAGCGTAGTGGTGATCATGTCACTAAACATTTTTGGCTACAAGAAAAGTATATCCGATTTTACTATGGTTCATCTCTTAGCTTGGAAGACTGGTTTAGACTATTGATTTGTAATTAAAATTTTCTTTTCTTACTTTCTCTTTGGATACTAATTATTAAGCAAAAAAATGCAAAAATTTTTTTTTATTTAGTAAAAAATAGGAAAAACATATTAAATGTTGCACATGACAAAAAAAAGTTCACGCGATTTGTGTGACATTTAATATTGATTACTAATTCTTTGATGATAATTAACTTCCGGTTGTACTAATCCTTATAAATAATAATATTTTTTTTGTGATAATATGTTTCTGTAATTCTTTTCGTAATAATAGATCACTATAATGAATTTTTTTTTTTTTGTAATGATAGATTAATATAATAAATTTTCTTGAAAAATTATTTTTTTTTTTTGTTTTTGTCAACAGCGTATATAATTACTTATTTTTTTAATATGCAAAAAAATTTTTTTTTCTGGGGGCCCCTTCTTAGGCTTTTTTTATATCACTTTTAAATTTTTACTTTATTTATTTACTTTATTTATTTTATTTTATTATATTTATTTATTTTCACCCTTAATTAAAACAAAAGTTAGATTATATAAACATCACTTATAAAAGCGAATCGGAATTTTATTTCAAGATGTATTAATATATAATTAACCCAACTCATTGACCATGGTGCAAAGCAACGGGTTACAGCTAGTTCAAGTATAAAATATATCAAAAATAAAAACAATTTATTAATTAAAATACTATTTATTTTATTCTATTAAAACATTAAAAAAATGAATGGTTTATAAGTTATTGTTTTAAAGAAAAGAAATTTCTCTTTAAAGTAATAAAGCTAATACAAATAAATACTAATAATAAAGCACTACACTTTTCAAATTCTCATTCTAAAAACCAAAGAACTAATTAAAAATAAGTTAAAATAAAAAACTTAATAAAATAAAATAAAAAGTATTGCTTATTATAATAGTAAAAATTGTTATAAATCTCTAGAATCTCTAGAAATCTTGAAAATCAAAATCAGTTATTGGTATTAAAGTTATAGCAAAAATAAAAAGCAATGATAAAACATTAATAAGATTATATAATATAATAATAGTTAATATTTAATATATTTTTACATTAATCAATATTGATTATACTAATTCAAAATAATTATAAATAATTATTAAAGCTTTAAATAGGTCAGTTTAGATTAAATCAATCAAGTTATCTGAATTGATAAGATCAAACAAAATTCTGATTTGATTTTAATTTTTATTTAATCTGATCTGATTTGATAGAATCATTTAAGAATATTTTATTATCATTTTAAATTAGCTATTATTCAAAATAAATAATTTACTATAATTCTAATTGAATAATTTATTATTATTCTATTTAAATGATTTATTATTATAATAATTAAATAATTTATTATTATTTTAATTGAACAATTTATTATTATTTAAAAATGATTAGTTGATCTAAATTTTATTAGATTAGATCAGATCAGGTAATAGGTTAACTTAATCTGATATTAATCTAAAAATCTACTAACTTGATCTGGATTTTCAAATTAAGTTAAATCAAGTAAACAGATTTATCTGATCTAATTTAAAGCTTTAGTTTTACTTGAAAATTAGAAAAATTATATAATAATATTCTATTACAATAAAATTGTTATTTTATTATATAATTCTATATATATATTATTCTTTTTTATTTTTTTATATAATTATGTTTTAAATTACTTATTTATTTTATTTATAAATAATAGTTAAGCTTTTATTAAATTAAAAATTTTTATATATTGAGATTTAAATAATATTAAAATTAGGAAATTACTATTTATATACTATGTGTATAAATACGTATCATATGATTAAATATAATTGGACAAAATCATTTAATATATATTAAGTATAAATTACATGATTTAAATAACTAAACTGCAGAAGATCTTTTTTTATTATATAAAAAATATATTAACACATACTAAATATAAATAAGTAATACATCATATGATTACTAAATATTTTGACACATCTTTGAATAATACTCATATTGCTTGTACTTTTCATATTTTTAACCTTTTGTTTCATCTTCTATAGCATTCAAACCTTTAGCAACCCTATTATATTAATTTGTGTACTATTCTTTAATACCTATTTTGCTTTAGATGAAGATTGTTTAACATTTACTTTAAATCTTTTTGGAGGTCATCCTTTATATCTGATAATAGTAGGATTATTAATATCAGCTAAGTTTTTTAAGTTTTCTATTTTATGGTTATCAATTTTACACTGAACATTGAAAATAAAAGTTTTAATCATATCCAATAATGTCTTTTGTATATCAGTTTAATAGCATAATTAATAGTCTTCATTGAGATTTTAGATAACTCTACATATATCATTTAGTTGATTTTACAGGTAATAGAGTATTATCTGAATAATTTTGAATTAAAAGAAATTGATCGAGACTAATTTTTCTAATATAGGAATATCCTCTAGTTGTATTGTCTTACATATCAGCATAGAAAAATGTTGTTATAACATGTCAATTGAGTTGATATCTGTATTCAAATACCATCGATTCAAAATTATGCTTATGTGAAAAATTGCATATAGAGAATAAGTATCAACTCAAAAAAAGTAATGGCAGATCAACCCTTTGTTGATTAATTGAAGGCAGGTATACAGATATATACCTCTATCAAGTAATACTACATAATATCTTATACCTTAGGTTCTAATAACACGTACATTTTATATTTCAAGAATTGCTTCTTATAGAATAGTTCTAACTAATGATCCAAAAAGAGTTTATCGTATATCTTATTCCTGTTCCTTAATTCCAGTACCTAATTCTTTATTATCCTTATCAGTCTATAAAAATCATTAAAATATTAATTATAAATCAACTATAAATCTACTATCTATCCTTAAATTTAAACATATTTTGCTAATATGTATACTTATTTCTATTAAATATTGCCATTCCATAACTTAAAAAATATTGTAACATACAGATTAGTTCATTTGTGCTCTTTGTTTTTCAAGTATCACAGATGTTAGAAAATTTATTAAGAATACAATCTACTTAACTGAAAAATCTGCTGCTTAACATTGGCATACTGATTGTGAATAGAGTATTTTGTTCAATCTCAAACTTTTT